GCGAGGCTTCCTCTCGGAGCCCTACCTGCGCATAGAGCAGGTCCGGGTCCCCCGGGACAAGCTGGTGGGCCGCAGCAGGCCCGGCCGGTACAGCCACATCCTGGATGACTTGTACAAGACGAACGCGCTGCCCCCGACGGCCCGGCGCAGCCGGATCGGGGTGCTCTACGCCCCCCGGGCGGACGGGACGGCAGACATGCACATCGTCATCAATGGCGAGGACATGGGGCCGAGTGCCAGGAACCTCCCTGCCGCCCGCCCACTCTACGCGGTGATCGATGTCTTTGCTTCAACCAAGAGCGTCCGTGTCATCCAAGTGGAATATGGCCGTAGGTATTTGTGTGTCGCCCTCCCTGCAGAACCCTTCTGGACAGACACCCCTGCTGCCCCCACCCGTGCTGGATCAATAGAGCCCTGCAAATCTGCAGGTATCCGCTTTATAGCTGCAGGTGTCCATTTGCGCCTGGGATAGCCACAGCTCAGTTCTGCATTTGCACACGGCTCAGGCTATGGATCCGAGCTCAGGCTGAGCAGAGTTGTGGGGCTCAAAAACCTACATGAATCCAGTAAGTTAAATGTCTCAGCCTCAACAGGCCCAGGCTCTAATACGGTGCTGGGCCAACGCGACCGGTGGATTAGACAGGAGAACGCTCGGCCTGCCGCACACAACTTCCGCCCTGAACATCAGCCCTGGTCCCCCAGACCAAGTGGTGTCCTAATACCCACTTCTCTCCCCTCCCGTGGCCCTGCCCTCTCCCTCTTCTGGACCCCTGGCCTCATGCCCTGCAGTCCTGGGCTCTCACCTCTGGGTCCTGAGCTCCACAGTTCTAGTCTCTGCTGCCCTGCCCTGCCACCCTCTAATCTCTGAGCTGCCACCTGCTCCCGTGTTGGTGACACTTCTGAGGTGGGAGCAGCCTGGTGAGGCAATTGTGGCCGGAGGTTCAGGTGCACTGAGCCGGGTGCTGCCATGGGCTGTGGGACATCCAGGGAAGTTGACGGCTGGGGGAATGCTGCCATCCAGCCCGTGGTGGTAAAATCACGTGCATGGCACAGTGCTCAGTGCCCCTTGAGTGAAAGGAATTTAGTGTCAAACTCCTAATGAGACACAGGCCATGTCACAAAAGCCACCCCGCTCATTAGCCACCTCAGCTGCACTAGCAGAGGCCAAGGCCTAAGCGAGACAAGGAGACATCAACTGATGTTAATGGCTAGTAACAAAGGCTGGGCTGGCTGTCTTGTCACATAGGCACCAGGGCTCGCTGGCTGGCAGCTGGAGTCGAGCTGTGAGGCCATGTACAACCCTAAAAGAAAGCCAAAGAATAGCAGCATAGGGGAAGTCTCACTGGCTTAAAGTTCAGATTATTTGGGCACCAAGGCTGAAACCCAGTGGGTTTTCTGGGAGTTGTTTTGCGTCAGTCCCGTGACCAGCCGGCCGCCGGGCGGTACAGTGTGCTCTGCTATGCAGGATTTGCAGTGGGAGGAGGAGATTCTGAACAGGGCTCATGCATGTGCAATCATCCATCGTTTAACCTACTGTGCTCTTCGGTACAAAGCAGGCAAAGTACCCCTGTCCTGGGCACACCTTTCGGGGAAGGCCTGTGTGCTAAGTATCTTTGTCCCATCAGTCCTCCCGGCTGGAAGCTGTTGGGGGCAGTTGCGGTACCAGGCAGGTTGCCTCAGGATTAGGGGGACCCTCAGTCCCATTTTTACCAGGACAGTCTCTTATTTAAGCCCGCCTCCTGGCATCCCCACTTTTTACAAAAATGAGCAACTAGCCCATGCCTCCCCTGCTGCGGGGGGGAGGGAGGAGAAGAGCTGCCAGTGCTCAGGGCTTCAGCCTCACGGCAGGGGGCAGAGCTGCTGGAACTTGGGGCTCCAGTGACTGAACCCCAAGACCGGCAGCATGCTGTGGGGTGGAACTTCATCCCCGCAGTGGAGGAAGGAGGGCAGGGAGCCATTGGCACTCAGCGCTTCAGCTGCTGGAGCCCCAAGTCCTGTGAAGGCCCCAGTGTCTGCAGCCCCCTCCCAGGGCTAGATCTCTGAGCACCTGGTGTCTCGTGTGTGCCACAGGGAATATGGCCCCTACTGAGGCTGTGCTCTAGGGCTTCGTAAGGCAGCTGGAACCGATGCAGGAAGCAGACTGGCTGGTCTCAGTTGAGGCAGGGCTCCAGCTCTGCAGCGCTAGCCCAGCACCCAGAGAGACGCCCAGTGTCTGCAGCCCCCTCCCAGGGCTAGATCTCTGAGCACCTGGTGTCTCGTGTGTGCCACAGGGAATATGGCCCCTACTGAGGCTGTGCTCTAGGGCTTCGTAAGGCAGCTGGAACCGATGCAGGAAGCAGACTGGCTGGTCTCAGTTGAGGCAGGGCTCCAGCTCTGCAGCGCTAGCCCAGCACCCAGAGAGACGTTTTACTGCCCTGCTGGCTCACCCGCTTACAGAGTAAACAGAGAAGCTGCTGCCACTGGCACTGCGGGGCTATTCAGGGCCAGGGACGGGAGGAAGCTTTTCCTGCAGATTGCTACAGACACTTCTTACCGAGTGCCCTGGTCACAACAACCCCACGTGTCCAAGTTCAGGGAAACAACCCAACTGTCTGGAAATACTGCCAAGGTCAGAGGCAGCCTCCCCGCAGGCGTAGGCTCATCCTGCGCCACTGCCCTCTCCTCAGGGAGGGGCTGAGCAGGGCTCTGTCCCAGGGGCTGCTCCCCAAGGCCTTACCAAAGTGTCAGAAGCAGCGTTTATCTCCTGTATTGAGTCTTAAAAGCCCCCCGAGGGGGAAGCTGGTAGGACTATGGGGGGGGAGGCAGAGCCTGCAGCGCAGGAACCCTGCTCTGAGGGACCAGAGAAGTCACTGATTAAAGCAGCTCCAGACGCTGCTGAGAAACACCAGCCAGAGCCCAGAGGGACCCGCGCTCACAGGCTGCCTGCGTGCCCACACGGGTGCCATGGGCTCAGTGTTTAGATAAAGGAACGGGGCCTTTTCCACGGCACCAGCCCAGGCACGGAACCGCGCTCCCGCCTGTACCAGAGGCTGGAAGGGGAAGCGCTTCCCTGTCCCACTCATGCTGCGAGTCTCAGCAGAGCCCCCCAAGGGGCAGTCCGAGGCACCCGGCAGGAGCCCAGCCCCAGGGCAGGGGCGGCTGCCTCTGAAGCAGACTGAGCTGCTGCTGTCCCAGAACAAACCACCTGCCAGGGTCACTGGCCCAGTAGCTCTTCTCTTCTGCCCGCCCCCGCCCTGCCTCCCACGCGTGGGGGGGTCAGATGCCCTCAGAGCAGCAAGCTCAGCATCTTCCCTCCCTTCCTTCCAGTGCCGTCCCTGCAGACCCTCTGCCGGCTGGTCATCCAGAAGCACATTGTCCACCGCTTGGCCATGGATGGGCTGGACCTGCCGCCGCTCTTGAAGGACTTCTGCAAATATGAATGAGGTGGCAAGGGCTGCTCCCGTGCGCCGCTCCTGCCGGTGATGGAGAACGGCCTTCCCAAGAGGGGCCACGAGTGCTCCTCCATCTTCACCCCCAGACTCGTCGGAGCAAGGGGCCCTCGGCAGTTACCGCACCGAGCCACATGGTGCCGCGGAAGCGTGCAGTGCCACAAACCACTGGCATGGCAGGGCCTGCAGCCCAGTCAGTAGCAGCACGGGGGTCCCTGTTCCACAATGCTGTTCTAGAGATCAAGGGTAATAAAGAGCTTCCCAAGCAAGTTGCTGGGAGTGGTGTGGCCGGGGGCCTCGGGTTCCACCTGGCGACGGGGAGGAGGTAGCATGGGACATCCCCGCGGGGTGCCAGCTGCTGTCAGCCCCTGCACAGCCCCAGTGGGGATAAACCTGCCCTGGGAAACGGGGCTGGGGGTGCTCACGGCTCATCGGCCCCAGCGCAAGTTCAAAGGGACAATCCCGGTAACTCAGGAGCCCAGGCTACTTCCTCCAGGCAGGGGCCGCCGAGCCACTGGAAGTGGAACAGGGGAAGCTGGGCAGCTAGTCCCCCCCAGTCTGTGCCCACGTGGGTGGGCGAATTCCCTGCCTCGTGGCACACGACACCTCCGTGGAGAGGGACGGGCTGAGAACTGGGGCCCCAGCAGGCAGGGGCCTCCGAGCCACTGGAAGTGAAACAGGGGGAGCTGGGCAGCTGGTACCCCCCCCCAGTCTGTGCCCACGTGGGTGGGCGAATTCCCTGCCTCGTGGCACACGACACCTCCGTGGAGAGGGACGGGCTGAGAACTGGGGCACCAGCAGGCAGGGGCCTCCGAGCCACTGGAAGTGAAACAGGGGGAGCTGGGCAGCTGGACCCCCCAGTCTGTGCCCACGTGGGTGGGCGAATTCCCTGCCTCGTGGCACACGGCACCTCCGTGGAGAGGGACGGGCTGAGAACTGGGGCACCAGCAGGCAGGGGCCCAGCGACCAGTGTGAGGTCAGGCCAGGCCCTGTGATGCTGGTTCTAGAATGGGGAGGGCAAGGCTGGGATATTACGGGGGAAGAGGCACCAGCCTGATTCCGCCATTGGCAATGTCCTGTTTCGTGAAGGGAAACGCTTCGTCGGGGCTTGTGCCTCCCCCGCAAGGTAACGGCCTTTCCTGCCGCCACGGGAGCACGCGCACAGAAACCAGAACGTGGTTGGCAGGCGCCAGGGAGCTGCTGCCCAGCAGATTTACCCATCAAGTAGGAGACGCAGAGTTAAGGGCTCCTCCGTCACAAGCCCCACTTCCTCCAGAGACCCAAATCCAGAGCCACCCTGCGGTGGCATGTAAACAGGACATGAGTGTATCGTCCTGCTCTCACCACTCCCTGCTGTGGCCCGGCCTGGTTCTCCCAGCTCACGCCTAGCTGCCCTGCAAACCCAAACCCCATATTATCCTGTTGGAGCCTCCCCATGACTCAGCTCTACCCCTCCGTCCCAATCTGCATGGGGGTGACTCCACCACCCTCCCCAGCCCTAGCTGCAGTTGAGCTGGTCCATTTTTACAGATCATCTACCTCTGGGGGGGTCAGCGTCACAGGGGTTCTCACACTTGTGATACTGCCACCCTCCAGGGGCTCGGGACCCAGTTTGAGAAACGCGGCCCTACCAGGTCTGCAGGGCCTTCCTTGTTCAGTTCCCTGCCTGACAGCCCCAGAATGAACAGAGCACTGGCCAAACGGTAACTAACGCTCTCCACCCTACGGGGGAGGCCGAGAGCCTCAAGCCACACGCCTTCCTTTCCCTGGAAACAGCCAGCCGCCCATGTGGACCAGTTCTTTGCAGCCTGCCCGCCAAGCCCACCAATGCCGGGGCAGGGCTCTCACTGAAAACGGGGCCTTGCTCCGAACAGGAGAGGTACGGCCGGGATGCAGGTGCCAGTGCACCTCACGGTCATGAAGGCACGTGGCTTCCAGCCCATAGGGCGGAGTGGGACGCAGGACAGTGCCTCCTGAGCCCTGCAACAGGAATGAAAATTACAGCTCTGGCCTCGTTCCTCTGATGCCAATTCTCTTAGGAAAGATGTTGACTCAAAAATAGTGGTGACTTATTTCCAGTGCTGCCTGTGGAAAGGTGCCTGTACCGGACAGCCACAGGCTTTGGATGCAGTGGAAATCCTGGGACAAACGATGCGAATCGTGCATCAGTTCACCACTATGCGACTTCCTGCACGTCAGGCAGCCATTTCGGAACCCGCAGGCCTCAGAGCGCAGTACCCAGCGCTGGGGTGCACCATGAACACCAACATGCTCCGTAGGGAGCACGAGTCCCCAGGAAAGCACAGCCCCAGGTGTCAGTGAATGAACAGCTGCTTAGCCAGAACCCTGCCTCGGCCCCAGCAGATACTCAGTCTGGTCCTACACGTTCTCTGTTCCCTTCCCCCCACAGATGCCAGCCGACCACTCCAACTGGTACAGAGCAATCTACTGAGTGTCTATCACTCTGGGGAGACGCCTCCTGCTGCTGCGGTCTTGGTGCCAGGCGTGCTCAGAAGGACAGTGCAGAAGAGCGCAGCCCCTTCACACCTAGAGGCGTCCCTGCTGTATCAGGAGAAGGCACTAAAGCAGCCTTGTAGTGGTGCCCAGCAGTGTGCAAGGTTCCCTCTCAGCAGCAGACTGCGGTACAGGGATGCCAGGTGGGAGTCTCACAGTGGACACTACTGTGGAAGATATTCTAGAAAGTTTCCCCAGCATCAGCACTGTGAGATCTCGGGATGGGATTATCCAGCTGAACGAGGCAGAGACGAGCCATGCGGCCCCCCTGGCATGTGTCCGAGTGCCTCTGTGAAAGGATACCCTCCAACCCAACACAGGAGTGGGCAGCACTTTGGGGAGCTGGGCAGCCCAGGGGGCGACTTCCCACGAGCCACCTGTGGATTTCCTCCTGCAGGTACTTTTCTCATGCCCGTCAGTCTCAGTAAGAACAGAGGGGGGCAGTCAGTGCAGAGCCCTCCCCCCGACATCTGCATCCTCACGCTTGCCATGATGATCGCGGGCATCCCCACAGTGCCTGTGCCAGGGATTAGAGAGGAGGATCTGATCAGAGCTGCACAGAACTTCATGACAGAGAATCCAGAGCCCAGTGCTCAAGGGGAGAGAAGTCCAAAAAGGAGAGGGGACACACGGCTGTGGAAGACAGACGGACAGAGGAAGAGACCAGACAGAGGCTTCCAGCCCCCTTCCGTAGCACTTTGAGAAGTAAAGCCAAGGAGAAATGTGCGATTCCAAACAAAAAACATTTGACGCTAGATTTACATACAAGGAGTTTATAGGACAGGCCGCTAGCTCAAAAGGAAATACCTGACCATACAGGAGTTCTGCTCTTCTGACTGGAGTGTTGATTCTGATGTTAAATGGTGAATGAGCTATTGAGCCAAACAAAAGCACCCAAACAAAGCACACACAATTGATGTAGAGTAACAGAGAGTAGCCGTGTTCGCCTGATCTTGGCAAAACAAAGAAAGCAGTCGTGTAGCACTTTAAAGACTAACAAGATGGTTTAGTAGGCGATGAGCTTTCGTGGGACAGATCTGAGGAAGTGGATCTGCCCCACGAAAGCTCATCACCTAATAAACCATCTTGTTAGTCTTTACAGTGCTACGCGACTGCCTCTTTGTTTTACAATTTGATGTGACATGGATAAACCAGGCTAAGCTAGGGTGGGACAAATTACTGACCTAAATAGCACTTTCTGTCCCTCGCCACTCCCTCTGGCTGGCACAGGAAATTCTATCTACAGCCGCCTGGCCCCAGGCTCTCTTTGCACAGAGAGGGACTATGCACCAGCCCATCCCAATAGGCCCAGGTCGTGCAGCTGCTCTTCCAGGCAGGTTTGCTCTCTCCTTTCCACGCCCCTTTTGTCTCCCATCACTGTTTGTTTTCCAGCAGCTCTGTCAGATTTACGGGAGCAGTAATTAGTTCCCCTCCCAGGCCAGTGACACGAGCTGGTAGGGGACAGAGGGCTGCCATAACCAGCCAAACCACTTCAGTGCTCTTAGCAGAGGGTGCCAGCAGCAGCTCCCTAGTAGCGTGGGTTGCTACCTGTGGGGCCTGGCAGCTTCTTAACAAGCAGGCTCAGTTAAACAACCGGAAGCAATGAAGTGAGAAAAGATGTGGTATCACACCAAGGCCTGACTTCACGTGAGCAAATCCTGCTCTGCCAGCTGAGGGAAGGCCCATGTCACTAGGACAGAACAGGGAAGCACAGGCTGGCTCAGATACACTCACGCATCCCAGCACTTGGGATTGAGGGTTAACTGGTAAGTGTTGCCTTAGTGGCCTGCTTCATAGGGTAACTGGTAAATGGGTGCCTGGCCCAGCCAGAACAGTCCCCCACCTGCGGCACAGCCAGCCCTGCTGGAGCAGCCAGGCCAGGCCCACTGCGCCACAGGCAGGGGGCTGTCCAGTGCCCCTCCTGCCTCTGGCGGGTGGTTAATGGGTTAAACCTATCGCTTAACCGGGTAACAATTTACACAGGATTTTACATTAAGCATGTTAAAATATGGAGAATCAGCTACTCAAGTAGTTGATGGGGGGGAAGGGAGGGAAGAGAGAAACACCTGATTTCCCCTGCTGCGGCTCTGCAGTGTCAATGTAGGAGCCCGGCTTCCAGTCCCAGATGCTGTGCCTCTGCCTCCCCTGCCCTCCCATAGAGACGGTGCTGGGCGGAACTGGCTCCCGCAAGGGGAGGGGAGAAGTGACTAGTCGAGCACTGATTCGACTAGTCACTGGCATCCCTATTTTACATCCCTACCTGGAACCAACCACATGAGCCTTGCAGCAACAGAGAGCAAAGGGATCCCATGAAGGTCTGAATATATGAGCCATGGCTCAGGCACCTTAGTCCCAGGCTATTAACTTCCTTCCCCAATCCACTCCTAGGAGTGTTTCCCGTGGGCTGGCCCAGAGACAGAATTCGTACGCACGCTTACGGGCAAGGGGAAGTCTATTGGCTGAACACGTTCGGGATCTTAAGCCAAAGGGGAAACCACCAGGATGCCGATTTAAGGCTCACATTCATATCACTTTAAGGAGAAAAGAATGGAAGACATACCACGGGAGTAACTGCATTTAAACAGACACCTCACTTCTCCCCGAGCCACAGAAAGCGGGAGAGTCACAGGCTGAGAGCAGGGGCATGGAACTCTCCAGTTCTGAGCTACAGCTTCACCTGAACATAAGGACCGATCCAGCTGTCGGCCAATTCTCGGAGCGTGCTGTACCTCCGCTCAAACTCCTCACTGCTGCAGTGAGTAAGAAGCCGGCTAATCTCCGCTGTAAGAAAGGACACTGCTAAGGATTTATCTAGAGACTCATTCCAGGAGCTTTTCAGAACCTCCAAGAGGCCATCGGTACCATTTTGCTCTGCTTGAGAGACGTTAGGTTCCTTTTGCCATTGCTTGCTGAGCATCTCTGGCTCTAAAACCTTCTTATCAGAGTTCAACACAGCCAGGATGTGCCTGCAGGGCAGCTGGAAAGCCTGGCGGAAGTGGCAAGTGCAGCTTTTCAATCCCCTTTGCTGCACTTTGTGGGTGTCTTCGAGGATCTGTATATTGACTATGTCTTCATTGGTGCCCATTAGCTGCACAGACTTCTGTGCCACTGCAAACTCGTTCAAGCACAGTCTGGCTGCAGGCTCTGTGCAAATGTCTCTCAGTGACTGCCTGATGCGGTCTTCAGTCTCTTGGTTACATTCCACATCTTGGCCACTTTTTGAGTCTTCAGTGATGATCTCTACTTTAATTTCATGGGGTAAATGATCTAAGGGGCTCGGAGGATTTGCTAGCTGGTTCTGAAGAAGCAGGGGGTTCTGAGGTGTGGGCAAAGGGTTCTGAAGAACCACCATGGAATTTGAAAGGGAATTCTGACCTGGCCATATTTGATGAGCTGCTGTGAGATTCAGAGAAACTGAAGGAGAATGCTGAGCTGACTGGTTCTGAAAAGGGAAGACCTGAGGGGCTGACGATTGGTTCTGAAGAAGCAGGGGGCTCTGCGGAGCAGGCAGGGGATGCGGAATTAAAACCAGAGGATTTGGAATGGACTTCTGACCTGGCCATTTCTGATTAGCTGTTGTGAGACTGGGAGAAACTGGTGGAGAACTCTGAGCTGGGTGGTTCTGAAGAGCTATTTGGGGGTTGTGAGAGGTTGTTGGTGAGTGCTCAGCTGGTACGCTCTGAAAGACTGTCTCAGTAGACGTGGTACTACTCAGAGGGTTAACAGAGAACAGCACAGCATCAGGGGGCCTCTTTGAAACACAGTTCTGGTAGTGTTTTGCCAGAGAAGTGATGCAGGTTTCCAGAGACAGTCCAGTGCAGAAGACTTGGCTTAAGCCCCGTGTGATGATCTCCAAGTCTTTAAAATACTGATTGCATTCCATCCAATTCCTCCATCTATGCATAGCCCATATCTTGTCATTAAGAAGCCAGTGAGTATGAAGCTGGGGAAGCAAATCAGGCTTCACAAAGTCACTCAGAATGGTGTGCATCATTCTCAGGTTGCTTTCAGTGGCTGCACACATAGTGTTCCTCAAAGCATTTAAGATCAGTCTCTCGGAGATGCATTCCAAAGACATCTGATGAATCTTCTGCTGCAGGTGCTTGCACACGTGGAAAACAGAAAGCTGCACCTCTGCAGATGGGAATGCTTCAGAAAGAGTTTGCAACAATCTAAAGTGTGGATCTACCAGAAAGGTCTTAATTTTCCTCCACTCAGGGTTGAAGGCCTTGAAGGTCCTATACATGTGAGCCAGGCTTTCTGCAGTTTCTTTGGCTGGGACAGCAAAATGAATGACCTTTGTCATCTCCCCTGGCAGCTTCAGGAAAGGGCCATCCACCATGAACACATACAGAGCTTTGCCACTGGGGCTGTGGGTTCTGTGGATGAAGACAACATCAGGAAAATGCACAAATATGTTTCTCATGAGAACGGTCTGGAAGCTGATGGAATCCAGCTGAGAGTTTTTATCTAACTGGTAGGCCACAAGCGAGCCGCAGTCAAAGCTCAGCAGCTCCTTCACGGTGTCCAGGGCCATGGCTCTTTATGGGGGCAGCGACCCTGGGGAGGATTCACCTCAGGCTGCTGCGCCACGTGGCTCAGGCCTGTGGGAGAAGGGGAGAACATAAGAACAGCCAGACGGGGTCAGGCCAAAGGTCCATCCAGCCCAGCGTCCTGTCTGATGACAGTGGCCCATGCCAGGTGCCCCAGAGGAGTGAACCGAACAGGGAATGATCAAGCGATCTCTCTCCTGCCATCCAGCTCCACTCTCTGACACACAGAGCTGGGGACACCGTTCCTACCCAGCCTGGCTAAGAGCCATTGATCGACTTAACCTCCATGAATGTATCTAGTTCTCAACCCTGTTCTAGTCCTGCCTTCACAGCCTCCTCAGGCAAGGAGTTCCACAGGTTGACTAGCTGTGTGAAGAAGAACTTTCTTTTATTAGTTTTAAACCTGCTCCCCATTAATTTCATTTGGTGTCTTCTAGTTCTTCTATTATGGGAACTAATTCATAACTTTTCTTTATCCGCCCTCTCCATACCACTCATGATTTTATATACCTCTATCATATCCCCCCTCAATCTCCTCTTTTCTAAACTGAAAAGTCCCAGTCGCTTTAACCTCTCCTCATATGGGACCCGTTCCAAGCCCCTAATCATTTTAGTTGCCCTTTTCTGAACCCTTTCCAAGGCCAAAATATCTTTTTTGAGGTGAGGAGACCACATCTGTACACAGTATTCAAGATGTGGGCGTACCATAGTTTTATACAGGGGCAGTAAGATATTCTGGGTCTTATTTTCTATCCCTTTCCTAATAATTCCTAGCATCCTATTTGCCTTTTTGACCACCGCTGCACATTGTATGGACGTTTTCAGACAACTGTCCACGATAACTCCAAGATCTCTTTCCTGATTTGTCGTAGCCAAAATCAGAAGAGACCACCACATCCCTCTGGCGAATCCACCTATGAGGGTACAGAGAGGAGGGACGACTAGCCAATAAGAGTACAGCAAGCCGTGAGCCGGAGTCTGGGCTCCATGGTTACCCGTCTTCCAATAGGAGCGGCCGAGAGACTCTCAGCACGCTTCCCTGGCGCCCGGCCCAATAGCGTTCCACCTTAAGCGGCCCACACAGCGCAGGGCTGTCACGTGACGGCACTGCTGGGCCAGGTCATGTGACACACCCTCCTCTCCCCTTCCCAGGGGAGAGCGAAGCTGGCTCAGTGCCCAGGCCACTCCCCCAGCTTGGGCGGGCTAAGAGCAAGGGGAGATCCCCGCCAGCCCTGCCCCCGCCTGTCCACACACACACCCTGTTCTGCCCTTCCCCTCCCCAGGCCAGAGAATCTGTCATCGCCCTAGGCCTGCAGCCTGGGTGAGATCTGCCCACCCGAGGGGAGTGGGGGAACTGGAACTCCTCCAGAGGCAAATGCTGTCTGGGTGCTGGGGCTTCCCTATGGGAACTTGTGCCATGGAGCAAGAGCTTCCCTCACCCTGCCTACCCACCCTGTTGTCCTGTCAGGGAACAGGATGGGGCACAGGGGCTGCCTCGGCTCTGAGCCTGTGCAGCGGTCTCGCTTGACCTCTTGTGCAATGCTGTTCATCCTGAAAATTAATTGGTGTAATGGCATCATGCAAGAGGGTTTTTGTTGTGCAAGAAGGGGCAGTGTAGACAGCTCCTTCTGCAGCAAGAGCCTCTTCTGCAAAAATGATGGCTCATTAGTGTGACGTAGTGGGGGTACTTGCTGGGCTGTGGTGACCTCTGCTGTCTGGAGCAAGACCCATCAGGGAAAACCTTATTATGCAAAAGTACCATACCAGTTGAACCAGCCTACCCCCCATGGGGAGAAACAAAAGGAGGTGGAAGGCTGCCCTGGCTGGGGGCAGGGCTGGGAGAGGTAGAGTTAGTTCCTGTCTGGACAGCAGGGGAGAAGGAGCTGGGGAGAGGGGCTGGGACTCCCCCATCTCAAGGGGGGGCACTGAGGCCTCTTAGCCCCAGTTCCTGTAACCAGATTACATCTGTGCTGTATCCTGGAGGAGCAATAAACCATCCTCAATTCCACTGGCTGGTGGAGTCTGTCTGTGCCATTTTGGGGTGCAGGAGATGGGGGACCCCCAACGCGCCATCACAATTAGCTATGCAAATGAGGGTCAGCGATATGCCACACAGCCTCATTTGCATATTTCTGGCACAAGAAGCTGTGCGTGTAGACATAGGATAAGGAGGAAGGAACAATCAGTTTCACACATACAGAATGGGAAGCGACTGTCTGGGAAGGAATATGGCAGAAAGGGATCTAGGGGTTAGAGTGGACCACAAGTTGAATATGAGTCAGCAGTGTGATGCCGTTGCAAAGAAAGCAAACATGATTCTGGGCTGCGTTAACAGGAGTGTTGTGAGCAAGACATGAGAAGTCATTCTTTTGCTCTACTCTGCACTGGTTAGACATCAATTGGAGTATTGTGTTCAGTTCTGGGCACTGCATTTCATGAAAGATGTGGAGAAATTGGAGAGGGTCTAGAGAAGAGCAACGAGAATGATGAAAGGTCTACAGAACATGTCCTATGAGGGAAGGCTGAAGGAATTAGGTTTGTTTAGTTTAGAAAAGAGAAGATTGAGGGGGGAACATGATAGCAGTTTTCAGATATCTAAGAGTGTCATGAGGAGGGAGAAAACTTGTTCATCTTGGCCTCTGGGGATAGAACAAGAAGCAATGGGCTTAAACTGCAGCAAGGGAGGTTTAGGTTGGACATTAGGAAAAAGTTCCTAACTGTCAGAGTAGTCAAACACTGGAATAAATTGCCCAGGAGGTTGTGGAATCCCCATCTCTGGAGATATTTAAGAGTAGGTTAGATAACTGTCTATCAGGGATGGTCTAGACAGTATTTGGTCCTGCAGACTAGACTCGCTGACCTCTCGAGGTCTCTTCCAGTCTTAGTATTCTATGATTCTATAAGGGAAGACTTTCCCCACACAGAAAACTGAAGAGAGCAAGGCCCACCACTGGCTCAGGCCCTTGCAAGAGCAGAGAAGTGATTTAGTGATATAGGCAGATGAACTCAGTAAGCAACCCCCTCTCCCCAGTGCAGCAAAAGGTGACAATTGGCCACCTTCAAGTTTCTTGCCAATTTAACTAGGGAAAAAATTCCTTCCTGATCTGGAATAGGGAAATCAGACCCTGAGCACGATCCAAGCACTTGGGGGAAAATTATTCTGTACCACCTCAGCATTGGCCCACTCTGTCCCATATCCCAGTGTGATATTTAAGAGGAAGGGGGAAAGAATGACTGTATCAACTGTCTTCTCAATATACAAGGTGAGGAGACCATGAGCAGGTGTAAGTAACTCTTCACTTTCTTTCATTGTTGTAATGACCATTTTTTCCATCTGTAATTCTTTCTGTCTTGTTAGCGACACTTATATAACAGAACGATTGGGGCCTTGTAAGTACATTGCTGGAAGAGAACTGCACAAATAATAAATAATCTGCAAATATTAGAGGGTGGACAAAATATAGCACACAGGCCAGATCTGCCCTTCTCCCCAGAATTTCTGTCTGGAGCGCTCAGCTGATTAGCAAGCATGCCAGCAGCATGTGTTCAGCTGCCCCTCTCCGACCTTGCTCCATCCTATCTGCTGCTAGTGGTGTGTGGAGGGGAGGTGAGCAGGGAGACATGCAGAAATCAGGGTGACCCTTTTGCCCCTGTCATCATCTCTGCAGAGCAGAGTTTGGGGAGAGGGACACATACAATAGTGCTGCTCCAGTCTGAAGTATGGTGAATAATGGAGTGCCTATCTAAAGAGGCAGTGCACTGTTGCTAAGATTTCTCTGGCAGCCAGCATGTCCCTCTCTCTCTCTCTCTCTCTCTCTCTCTCTCACACACACACACACACACATTGTCTCACACACACTCTCTCCCCCGCCATATGCCCATATGCCCCCGCTCTGCAGAGTGGGGTGGGGAGAGGGAGATGACAGAGCAGGACAGCTTTCCCTTAAAGAGACAGTTCATGATTTAGAAGTGAGCGAAGAGCCTGGGTTTCCTACCTAAGCTTTTGGTCAGCCCCATCTCTTTTACAATGAGAGTTCAGTGGAGGGATTCTCCTCCAAATCAGAACCTCAGATCAATCTACATGAGTTGTGCTTGACTATGAGATTAGATTTAAATACTGAGAGCGGAGTGGCTACTGAAACCAGATATACAGAGAAAGATGCTCCACACAGAATACAGTGCCTGTTTAATCCTGTATGAATCACAATGAATCACATGCCATTACCGTTAACTTTCAGACATAGGGGCTACGTCTAGACTACATCCCTTTTTCGGAGGGATAAGGGATCTTTCGGAAAAGGCTTAATTTTCCGCAAGATCAGCATCTAGACTGGCGCTTTCCGTGCCGAAAAAAGCTGCAGCCATTTTTATGCTAATGAAGCAGGGGAGATTTAAATCCCCGCTTCATTAGCAATTGCGATACGTCTAATTTACATCCCTTTTCCGAAAAAGGGATGTAGTCTAGACATAGCCTGACGGTAAAATTCTGACTCCGTTAAAGTCAACAAGAATTTCGTCATTGGCTTTAGTGGGGCCAAAATTTCACACACAGCTGGTAATAACATACCCCATAGATCCTCCTGTATGATTATCTATGGATCAGAGGTTCAGTTTTATTAAATGTTGCCATACTTTTTCTCCTTTTCTCTATCCTAGGTCAGTGCACTAACCTGGGGTCAGCAGAGGAGGAGCTGAGTTGTCTCCGTGAGGCACTAACAACTCCAGACCCTGAGGCTCTGTTTCAAACCTCTTGCAAAATGGCTAAGGTAACAGACACTAGGTGACTGTCCTAATGGTTGTGCACCATTCATTTTCCCTTGTCCAGAGGACTGGAAAAGGGCAAATCTAGTGCCCATCTATAAAAAGGGAAATAAGAACAACCCAGGAAACTACAGACCAGTTAGTTTAACTTCTGTGCCTGGGAAGATAATGGAGCAAGTAATTAAGGAAATCGTCTGTAAACACTTGGAAAGTGGCAAGGTGATAGGGAACAGCCAGCCTGGATTTGTAAAGAACAAATCATGTCAAACCAATCTGATAGTTTTCTTTGATAGGCTAACGAGTCTTGTGGATAAGGGAGAAGGGGTGGATGTGGTATACCTAGACTTTAGTAAGGCATTTGATACAGTCTCGCATGATATTCTTATCAATAAACCAGGTAAATACAACTTAGATGGGGCTACTATAAGGTGGGTGCATAACTGGCTGGATAACCATACTCAGAGAGTAGTTATTAATGGTTCACAATCCTGCTGGAAAGGCATAACAAGTGGGGTTCCACAGGGGTCTGTTTTGGAACCGGCTTTGTTCAATATCTTCATCAACGATTTAGATATTGATATAGAAAGTACGCTTATTAAGTTTGCAGATGATACCAAGCTGGGAGGGGTTGCGACTAATCTGCAGGATAGGGTCACTAATTCAAAATGACTTGGACAAATTGGAGAAATGGTCTGAGGTAAATAGGATGAAGTTTAAGACAAATGCCAAGTTCTCCACTTAGGAAGGAACAATCAGTTTCATACATACAGAATGGGAAGCGACTGTCTGGGAAGGAGTACGGCAGAAAGGTATCTAGGGGTTAGAGTGGACCACAAGTTGAATATGAGTCAGCAGTGTGATGCCGTTGCAAAGAAAGCAAACATGATTCTGGGCTGCGTTAACAGGAGTGTTGTGAGCAAGACATGAGAAGTCATTCTTTTGCTCTACTCTGCACTGGTTAGACATCAATTGGAGTATTGTGTTCAGTTCTGGGCACTGCATTTCATGAAAGATGTGGAGAAATTGGAGAGGGTCTAGAGAAGAGCAACGAGAATGATGAAAGGTCTACAGAACATGTCCTATGAGGGAAGGCTGAAGGAATTAGGTTTGTTTAGTTTAGAAAAGAGAAGATTGAGGGGGGAACATGATAGCAGTTTTCAGATATCTAAGAGTGTCATGAGGAGGGAGAAAACTTGTTATCTAAAAGGGTGTCATAAGGAGGAGGGAGAAAACTTGTTCATCTTGGCCTCTGGGGATAGAACAAGAAGCAATGGGCTTAAACTGCAGCAAGGGAGGTTTAGGTTGGACATTAGGAAAAAGTTCCTAACTGTCAGAGTAGTCAAACACTGGAATAAATTGCCCAGGAGGTTGTGGAATCCCCATCTCTGGGGATATTTAAGAGCAGGTTAGATAAATGTCTAGCAGGGATGGTCTAGACAGTATTTGGTCCTACCATGAGGGCAGGGGACTAGACTCGCTGACCTCTCGAGGTCTCTTCCAGTCTTAGTATTCTATGATTCTATAAGGGAAGACTTTCCCCACACAGAAAACTGAAGAGAGCAAGGCCCACCACTGGCTCAGGCCCTTGCAAGAGCAGAGAAGTGATTTAGTGATATAGGCAGATGAACTCAGTAAGCAACCCCCTCTCCCCAGTGCAGCAAAAGGTGACAATTGGCCACCTTCAAGTTTCTTGCCAATTTAACTAGGGAAAAAATTCCTTCCTGATCTGGAATAGGGAAATCAGACCCTGAGCACGATCCAAGCACTTGGGGGAAAATTATTCTGTACCACCTCAGCATTGGCCCACTCTGTCCCATATCCCAGTGTGATATTTAAGAGGAAGGGGGAAAGAAACTCAGAATATATTATAGGGTAGAGAGTAAAGAATTTCCTTCTTGGACCAGCTAACCTGAAGCACAAGCTTTTAGGATAGAGATACTACAGATTACTCCTAGGCCTCCTGTGACCGAAAGATACAACTAGGTCTCTTGTCAGTTGAAAGCAAATGAGGGGAAAGACTTTGCCTTCCTGAAAAAAGTCAACCAAGCGCAAAACCTTCATTGTGTATACAATGGGGGATGGTCCCCTTAAAGCCACCATGGGCTAACACAGGGTCTGGAATGTGAGTGACTTAGCAGTTTAGTGCAGACAACAGTCCACACTGGGGATTCAGTCTTGCTGCTCGTGGCATTGGCCCATGGCACAAGTCGAAGTTTCCCAGTTGAAAAGAGGCCCCTGGCAGCACGCAAAGGAAAGCAGGGTTCATTCACCCTGATCAAGTGAAGGTAAATGGCCTGTTTTGTTTTTTTTTTCCTGGGATGGACATTGCTTCCATTCCAGTAACCGAAATACTCAAGTCAGTTATTTGTCTACAGATATATTGCATTAACACTTATGGTGGAAAACAACCCTTCTTCCCCGAGCTCTAAGCCACTTCATTAGCAGCCAGGGAGACTCACACCCATCATGGCTCCAGCACACTGCACGCAAGGCACCAAGAGACCGCCACATTAAATGCAATTCATCCTGTGGAGCCTTTACAGCACTGGGCACATATTTCGAGTTTATAGGCTGAAGTTCGAAGACTGGAAATTATAGCTGCCCCAGCAATGTGTTACATACTTGTAGTTAGAGACCACTATGGGATTAAGAGTAAAAGAGCCAAGCAGGAATGACAGGCTACGGCCTAAGCCAAACTGGAAAACAAATTTAATGGCAAAACAACAGTCAGAACTGTATTTTAACAATTAATTTGGTCTAAATACACAGCAGCGACATGACCACTGCTAGCAGTGGCCTCAGCACAAACAGCAACATACAAACCATTATTGCACTTTCTTCCAGCTGCTACTTAGAGAGCAGGGCACAGCCCTGAAATAGTGCACAGCAGAGGGTGAAGGGAGGCAGGCAGCTGGACTTAGATCTCTCTGCCTGTATGAAGCCAAGTACTTTTTTTTTTTAAATCTTACCACAGCGAGCAATGAGAACACATTCACTCCAAATTTTGAAACCAAAAAACCAATTTCCAGAAACTGAAGAATGAGCCAGGAATCTCGTTCATTTTATCCCTAAAACCAGGGGCTAAGTGCAAGGCCCCCTGAACTAGATTCAGCTTTGTTTTCAGGCCTTTGTGGTAGGGCTAAGAAGACCATCCAACAGAGCATTACTGGCCGGACTTCAGCAGCCCTGAGGTTCTCACACAGGCACCTCGCGTGTTCTTGGCAAGTGGGAATTGCCATATTCTACCCATCTATCCTATCTTGCAAACAAGAAAACAAAAATCCCCACAACATGGCTAGTCCGAGAAGACACAAGATCACACAGGAAAGTCTCAAGTTTATTACTGAGCTCTTCAACAGTCTTGGAAGTTAACAGTTAACCCTGAGTCTCCTGGGACTGGGAATGGGGAGAGAACCATAAGAAGCTAGGAGAGGGTTAAACCAACAGCTCACTTGAATCTCCCAGTCTGAGTTCAGAATGGCTGACATTTCAAATCTGGACCATGTTGGTACCTGCCAGTGATCTCTCAGCATCCTCCATTTCCATTTCCTCCTGCTTTACCCACAGAAATGGCAAGTCCCCCACATTTCTGAAAGTGGCACATTTCCCAGAGTCCTCCACTGGCTCTGAGGATTTTGCCCAAATATCCACAATCATTTTGAGCGTGGAGCTGCGCTCTTCTAACTCTTCCCCATCACACTGCATCAGGAGATTAGCAAGCTCCTTGCTGAGGGACTGGATTTTGTCGTATCTTTCTTCTGCAGCTGCTGGCAGGTTACCTACTGAGGGCCTAATATCCTCTAGGAGATTTTCTCCCAAGACTGAAAGATGCTGGTACTTCTTCTGCCAACGCTTGCATACCATAGCTTCTTCCACAGCTTTCTTGTTGGCATGCAGAACAGAGAGGATGTGCCTGCAGGGGAGCTGGTACCGGCAGTGAAAGTAACAGCTGCAGCTCTTGCAGTCTTTGCTGACTTGGTGTGTGTCTTCTAGCAACTGCACCACAATATTATCTTTCATGACATTAATGAGCTGAGTTGACCGCTGTACCACCTCCCATTCATTCAGACACAGCTGGTAGCTCAGGTCTGTGCAACTTTCTCGGATCGCTGCCAGCATGGTGCCTGGGGTCTTTGCAGGATTCTGTTTGGCAATTTGGCTGGGGGGCTCAGAACATTTGTTTTGGGGTGGTGAGGCAGCATCAGGGGTGCGTTTCAAGGAGGCGCGAGTACGCACCTTAGATTTTTCCATGCGTTTGCTCCGATTCTCCTCCTCAACAACTGAGATGCCCTGGTTCAGGTTTTCCAGACCTTTGGTATTGAAGCAGTCTGCATATTCAACAAAGTGAACAATGCTGGTCTCCAGGGATAACTGCTTGTTGAAGAGACTGGATATTTTATGAGTGATGAGATCCAGACTGTCTACATAGGTGCTGCAGGAATGAAGGCCCTTCTTTGCGTGCATGTACCACAGCATCTCACAAGAGAACCAGTTGGTCTGAAGATAGTCGTACAGCTCCTTGTCCAAGCGCTTTACCAGCTGAGACAAGATGTCTAGATTTGCAGTGGAGGTAGAAAAAACCACCTCCTTCAAAGCCAGCTTCAGCTTGTGTTTGAAGGAAACTGAGGCCTCTGTTTCCTTGACCTTCTTCTCAAGGAATCGGACAGTGTGGTAGACAGAGAGAAGCACCTGGGTTGTGGGGAAGAGCTCCTGCATGGTGGCTTTGTGACGAAAAGACATGTCCACAAAGACTACCTTGACCTTCTGCCACTCGGGATTGAACTCTCTGAAGACAGTCAGCATTTTGCTTACATTCTCACCAGTGTCCTCCTTCAGGACAGCAAAATGCACCATCTTCCCTACTCGCTCCTTACTCTCCACCAGGAAAGCGTAAAGCACATGCCCTCGCTCGCTCTGCACCCTGTGCAGCAAAAGGCTCTCTGGGAACTTGACAAACAGGCTCCTCATCTTGCTGGTCTGGAAGTTCAGTCTGTCGAGGTCCTGGTTGCTGCCCACGCTGATAGAAGCCAGCGAGCCCATGTCCACCCTCAGGAAGTTTTTCATGACCTCTGCAATTCTGACTAACGCTGAAGTTGAGGCACTTTCCTTCACTGGCTCGGGGAGCACAGCAGCCTTGGTGAGCGGCGCAGAGGCCCCATTCAGAGTCACGTCAGCCATCGCGCACTCCTCACTCAGCGTCACGGTGGCTTCGGTCTCTCTCGACTGTTGTCTGCGCAGTTTTGTTCTGGGGCTGCCGTCTGCCAAGCAACCTGCAGTTTTGGTTGTGGCTCTTGTCACTTGAGAAGAGCTAGTACGGGCCAGGGAAGCTCCTCCTGGGTCTACATGGATGTGATTGCTGTTCAGGTCAGTAATCACCAACCGATCTATTTCCTCGTTATACTGCAGGATAAAAAAGGCCGGACACAAGCTGGGCTGTTGTTTTCTCTTCTTACTGTATTCCCGTGTCCGGACACAGCCAAACTTCACCTGGATGAACCTGGGAAGTGGAAAGACAGTTAATAATGGAACAGGATGCAGCCTGACCAAATAGTACCAATGCACAGACATCCCCCTCTCTGACACGCCACTACCAGGTAGCCAAGAACTGCATGGCCACATAAGCCATGATAGGAGATGTTAGAAGGAAAAGATTTAGCGGACGATGGCAAGTGTTCTACACGTAGATCAAGAGAGAAAAGGATAAAGTGATACCTACAGTGCGTGGTCATGGTCTCAGATTGGCCTGAAAGCTCCACCTGACAAAGCCTGAGCAATTGGTCTGGACACCCTCAGTCACTGTGACCTCAGGAAGTTTTGTTTGCTCTTATTACATTGCTTTGAGACCCAAATCACTCCTGCAGCTGCCTTCTGCATCAAGAGCAGCAGAGGAGAAGCTACATTAGCTCAACTTAGTAAGGAAACATTTCCTGTTAGGCACCAGGAATCTATGTTTCAAGAATGCAAGGCTGGAGGAATTAAGGAAGATAAGTCTGATCCTGCAGCCTTTTCTCCCAGGACTAACTGCACTGACTTGCACAGAAACAGAACTGGGTCCATTACGTCAATAAGGCTGCTCAAGTAAGTAAAGGACAACGGAAGGCAATACTGAAAATCCATCAGTGTGACGGGGACTGGGGAAGCAAATAGACACTAACTAACAGAGCGATCCCTTGGGTACTGCACAAAGGGGCGACCGTTCCAGGCCCTGCGCGTCAGTGTGCATGTGTTGTGTGGAGGTCAGGTTCAGTCTCTGCAGCAGTGACTCTAGCCTCCCCCACTGGTTTCCAGCATTGCAGCACTTGCTGCCGGTGTCCTAGCACCTCCAGAACAACCAGTGCCAGGCTGACCCCATCCACTGCCCTTCCGCTCCAACCCTTCCTTTCTGGGACCCCCAGATCCAGGGACCTCCTCATCCCAGTACAGGTGCCACCCTGTGATTCTCCTTTGTCCCCTTCCCACACCAGATTTCACATGTATAAAAAATGCTAAGGGCAGCCTAGCCAGGTTGATCTGTCCCATGTCCTGCACCCCCCTATGGCTGGCCTGCTAATTAGGTCAGTTCATTGGAAAGAGAAAATTGCAAGAAATAAGAATGCCATTAAACTAATAAACAATCAGTTCAGGTTGCAGGGAAAAGCTATGAACCACCAAAGTGCAAAATAAGGGCATCCTACCAGAGGAGTGAAAGGGAAAGTGAGAGATGATATTATGGGAGGACATGGGTACTAGGGAAAAAGACGTGAAAAGGTGAATGGAAGGAGAGCTTTTAACAGGGAAGTGTGGCACATACCTAACGAGTGCCTGCATAGTGGGTATTTGCATCCATGTCAGGTGCACACAGACATGCTCATCTGACTTGAAAATCTGGCCCATGATTTTTAAGTGGGACGTGGCACAGCCTGCTGGATAGAGACTTGGGTTCTGTTCCTGGCTCTGTCATGAGCCTGCTAGGTGACCCTAGGCATGACCTCTCCTTGCTTTGTGCCTGTTTCCCATTCTATAAAACAGGGATCGCAATACTGACCTTTGTAAAGCATGTTGAGATTTACTCATGCACAGGGCTTGCTAAGTGGCGGCGAGCCCCGCTCACCAGCCGCACGGTTCGGCATGCTGCACACGTGCAGACTGCACTGCGCATACTGTGCTGCCATTTTGTAAGCTGCTCGCCACGGCCAAGTAGATTACACTAATTGTTGAGCCCTGCTCATTGAAAGCCAGAGAAGAGTTGGGCACTGTTATTATCCTAAAGCACTTTCCAGGGGACCTACTTCTTCCCCAGTGATGCACACCCAGCTGTGCAATGGACCAAGGCAGCTATTTAACTGTGCATGGCAACACTGCATGGCAATTTCAGACAAGAAGTGAAAAAGAATCCTATTTCCAATGTAGACAGCAGAAGCTATTTAGTTTGGCAACACTAAAGACTGATTCCAACCTGCGACTTGGCCGGGTTCTAAGGTGACTATCCAATACCTAGTAGAAGGCCAGAGGATCTTTAATGTCCACAAGTGGGTCAGGACCTTGGAAACAGGAAAGTATTTTCAGAACTGCCCAAAACCCCCTTTGCAATACTTCCCCTTCCCTCCCACCTGTGGGGTGCCGGGCGCCTTACGTGATGTCCTCACGGATGCTGGTTCCATGTTTGCGGTTGTAAAAGCGGACCGAGACGCAGTTCTTTAAGCCGTAGTGGCACTTGTTCTCCTTCTTGTACGTGTTGAAGCATTCTTTGAAGTCGTAGTAGTTTCTAAAGCAAGAGCCGACTTCCATGGCTGCTGTCGTCGGGGCGGGGGCAAC